TTCTCCTTTTTTCAAGCAAAATCGAAAATTGGTCTGTGGCTAAAAGGTAAAAGAATGCCTATTCGCCGGAAAAACCCATAAAAAACGATGTTTGCTCCACCTCCAGCCGACCAGAAGCCCGCCCTAGACGACCCTGCCGCGAACAAGCCCACCCACAACTTCGTGACCTGCGTCTACACAACAAAACTCGGCGAAGCCTTCTGCAACGTGACTGCAACTTGGGCCAAGACCCTCATCAGCCACACCCTCTACATAACAGTCGAGTGCCCTGACGAAAATACCCACTACACGTGCAAGATCGACCTCAAGACCTGGCAATTCTGGGGCAAGAAGGGCCTCAAGACCTTCTCTGTTTCCGACAAACGAGTCGACGTCTTCTGGGACCTCCGGTCAGCGAAATTCACGAGCAGCCCTCAGCCCAACTCCGACTTCTACGTGGCCATGGTCAGCAAGGAAGAAGTTGTTCTGCTGCTCGGGGACCAAAAGAACGAGGCATTGAGGAGGACAAGAAGGAGCTCGTGTTCGCCAAGAAGTGTTTCTGCACGAAAACGACACTTGGCCGGGACAGGAAGGAGCATAGTATCGTGATTGAGTCGTCTCTGAACGGGCCTTACGACCCGGAGATGTGGATAAGTGTGGATGGGACAAAGTCGATCCGTGTTCCGAATTTGCATTGGAGGTTTAGGGGGAACGAGACGATTGTGGTGGATGATGTTCGGGTGCAGATTCTGTGGGACGTGCATGATTGGCTTTACAGTGGTAGCCACTCAGGCGTGGGCATTTTTGTTTTTAGGAGGGATGGTGGGGGCGCGGGCCGTGTGGTGGTGGAGGGAGAGGATTTGGGGGATGGTTTTTGGGATGAGGTGGCGGAAGGGTCTTTCTCAGTTGGGTTTTGTCATTTTCTGTATGCGTGGAGGATTGAGTGAGGAAAAATGCTACAAGTACATAATAAATGTACATAGAGGTGTACATAACATTCACACTCACATGGAATAGGGTCCACTTGATATTTTATTTTTTGTCGGTCCCACTCAATGTGAGTGTTATGTACATCCTTATGTACAATATTATGTACCTATAACATTTCTCGTGAGTGAGGGGGAGG